CTGTTTTCTATCGCAACCGGCTAAATCTACACAGAGCCAAAAGTACCTAATAAAATTAATAAGATTGTCTCTATGAACAATTTTTAGGCTGAGGGGTAGGCCAGATGCCAGGAACGAAAAAAAAATTATGTGGAAATCTCTTTGGTTTGCCGCTCAAATTCTTATTGATAATATTAAGAATATTTCTTCGTGTTTTCTTGAGATTCCTTTTCATGTATGTTATTTATATGAAATTCTTATTATTTCCTCTTGATATTTCTGTCAAAATAGGGAAAAAAACGCAAAATCGAGAATTCTTCTTAATTCTCTAAGATATCTCTTTAAAAATATTAATAAGAAAAATCTTATTAATCACATTTTTAAAACGCAATTAGCAAAACTGCGCAACAAATAAAACGACCCATAGAGAAATCATTTTATTTTTCGGAGATGTCTCTAAAAATTCAAAATATTTTTTCCGTTTTTTCTTGTCATTTGCATACATACATACGTACATATGTACATTGTTACATATGCCTGTAAGTGAAGTACTTACAACCATATGCAGCCAATGATAACGGCTCTTTGCGTTTTCCCCTTAAGCGTAAGGCACATTAGCGCGAATCTATCGTTGCGAATTTGTTGCAAATTGTCGCAATCTCAGATCCGCGCTAATGTGCACTTCGCCTTATTACTTTTTTCTCGCTATTTGCATGACATACATACATACGTATGTACATACTTACATAGGCATGTATGTAAGTGAAATATTTTCGATGCCAATAACAACGGTACTTTGCATTTTTTCTTATTTCTATTCGATTAAGAAATTAAAAAATGCTTCTTGTTTTTTAGTTTTAGTTCAGCAAGGAGTGAGTGCAGATAAAAGTGCTAGTAATAATTTGATGATCAATTTTATATACTATATTTATTACTTGAATTAATTTCGGTTATTACATCGCTGCTAATTATTTAAAACAATTAAATAATGGACCAGACAATAAATATGTGTGAACCGTGTATTGAAACGATGTCATTATTTAAAATGTGGGACTTAAGTGACGATGTGTATACTCTTTTAAAAGGTCATGGAATCACTACATTCCTAATTTTGAAAAAAAATGGAAATTGAAGATGTATTAACGCTTTTCAATAAATTTGATACGAATTTCTTTGGCGAAATGTTTAAGTTCAAGGCGGGGCTTAAAGAATGGCGAAATAGTATGGTAAGTAATTGTTCACAATACACTCCTTGTGATTTGAATAGCGCACCCTTTTGATCCTTAGTATTTACGGGTTTTCTTTTTTTTATTTAATATTCATAAAAAACTATAGCATATTGTGTAACAAAAACTATTGAGATCCGATATTAAAATTTTGTACAAATTAAAAAAAGTCAACAAAGCGGTGTGTTATCGCAATGACTAACAGTGAATAAGCTGATAATATTTTTAGAAAACTATCGGGTATACAGTTTTGTAGCCCATATAATTTTAGTAAATAAAGTCCAAGTTTCAAATGGCTACAATGTTTGACAATTTTTTTTGTTGCTCGACAGATTTTTTATATGGAAGAAAATTCCCAGCACCTTAAAAAAAATTTAAAAATCTACGGTATTTTGTAGCCATTTGAAACTTCCACTTTATTGCACCAAAAATTTTATGAGTTACAAAACTGCATACCAGAAATTTTTCTGAACTGGACTCTTAATAAGGGCTATCGATTCCTATATGCCAATATTTGCTTGGATTCCAGCCGGTCTCCTTTACATAAGCCATTATCTTTTACTTTTTTTATTAATTTAAAATTTTTTTTTAGAAAATGCCACTTCTCTGTGACAGGGAGACGTTATCGGATAACAGTCGAATTATAGATGGGCTGGAGAAAATTTCATCAAACTTGAGTGTTTCTAGAGAATCTACACCCTCCGCTCAGTTGCCACCAGTCTCCTCAATAAACAAAACTAGGCTTATCAACCTTTTAAAAAGCACAGTAAAGGGACAGATGGTGTTAACATACAACGAAAAATATGGATATCTGGATGCAAAAAGTCAAAGTACAATAGCTCATTGCATTGTGGATAGATATGTCGGAAACTTTGTGAAAATGACATACGCAGAAATGCAGAAATGGGCGAATGCCATCTCCGAAGTTTTCCCAAAAGAAAAACCGGTAAACATAATAAATATAAATATAATGCTTATCATAATTAGTTGTAGATACCCACATGTTTACAAGTTTTGAATATCTATTTTTCTTTTATTTAATTTCTAATATTTTTCAATTAGAATATAGTTCATTAACACAAAACAATATACAATTTTTGCTCATGAACTATATTCTAATTAAAAAATATTATAAATTAAATAAAAGAAAAATAAATATTCAAAACTTGTAAACATGTGGGTGTCTATAATTATGATGGGTATTTTTTTAAGGAGACTGCATATCTTATTCTTATACAAATATTTTGAAATTTAGGAAACATACTATACTATGATCTCGTAAGTATCTGTTACTATATTATATTATATTATGTTACACTATATTGTATTATATTATATAGTATTATTGAGGGATTCACAACGGTGTCGTAAGTGTCGTATTGTTATATGTCGTAAATTTTAAAGGCTTAAATAAATGTCCAAAGAACTTGAAACGACAACCAACTATTTTTTTAACACTGCAAAAATTCATAATATGATTTTGATGGTACTTTGCGAACCCCCTTAATATATTTTTTAGGCGTTTAAAGTTTACGACATTTATAAGCAATAACCGAATTGTATTGCATTGCATTATATTATTGTATTGTATTGCATTATATTATGTTATTTTATAATATTTTCAAACAGCCTGTATTTATCAAATATAATTTTTTTCATTTGTATTAGATCGAAATAGACTTTGATAACCTATACCCAGGGAAGGGGAATTTATTGTTTTTGAAATTGGAATCTTTTTATAAAAGCATATTGGATATTTTTGAAAAAGAAATAAAGGATCGTCCTTCCAGAGAATTGTATTTAAAATATTTATACAACAAAGACATTTCAAACGGTTGGTATTTGGTTTTAACTTTAGTGTTTAAATTTTGTTTTAATATCGATATTGTCTCTATAGGTACTAAATATTGCATCACTACAATTCTTCTTCATGCATTGCTGCCCCCTCAGCGCCTTAATAAAACCGATAAGCCTACAATAGCCGATGCTCAAAATGACTTTGTCACTTTCGTTGCAACACCAAATGATATCCAACCTAAAGTTATGGAAATAATTAATCGCTTCGTTGAAAGAAAAGAAAAATGTCAACCCAGAATTATCGCCGTTGGAACCGACATTACGTGTATTTCCGAATTTTATGTTTTTTGCGACGGCATAAAATGGAAGTGCTGTTCCTATATGAAGTGTGTTGATATTATCATAAAATTATCGTATGTTTTTAATACAGAATACTCACAAAGAAGCAAACAAGTATGGGCATTTTTGGAGCAATTTTTTTTTGAATTAAAATCAGAGGATTTTTCCTCCGTAGCAAGTCTCTTAAGCAAACTAGTATAATAGATATACTATCATCTGTATACTTTTTTCGAAAAATGACTTTTCTTGTTTGCTTCATTTGTACAAAAAGTCATCGAACACCGAATGACCTGACTAAACATTTAAAATCAGACCATGGCGTCCCAACAATTTACGAATTTATTTGTATGGAAGAAAAATGTATTCAAATTTTTAATAATATATACAGATTTCAACAGCATCTAACGAAGCATACTAAAACTAAAAGTATTGATCAATTATCGTGCAAGCAAAAGGAATTTGTACAAAATTCGCCTGTTTTGACAAGTTCTGTGGGACAAATAAAACCAACATTTTCGTCAACATTTAAAGAATCAACAATGTCATTCCTTCTTCAGCTGCATTCGAATACAAATTTTTCTCGAAAAGACGTACTTGATATTCAAAATTCTGTTGCACAGTGTTTTATGACACCAATATATAATTTTTTAAAAGCGTTGCCTAATGTCAGTGAAGATAATTGTTCACTCGATGAAATAATCCAAACTCTGTCTCAACCCTTTTCTGAAGTTAGCTCTGAACATAAGTTCCTTAAACAATTAGAGGAACTAAAACTGTATAAACATCCACAGAAGTACATTCTTAGTGAAAGTCTTGCAGAAGTCGTACTAAACAATAATACTTCTTTAACATTAGCAAAATCAGAAATGGCAGTAACAGACAACATTTCAAATAAAATGTTTTTTCGAAATTGAAGGAGTTTTAAGGGCAACCCTAGTAAATATGACACACTTTTCAAAAGACAATTGTTATTCTCATTTCCATAATGGCGATTTTTGGCGAAATTTAAAACATACTGAAAACTGTGTAACTATGCCATATTTCCTGTACCTTGACTATTTTGAAATAAATGATCCTTTGGGATCAAAATCAGGCCATCACAAAGTTTGTGGAATATACTACAGTTTTGCAAGTATACCACATTTTCAAATTAGTAGGCTAGCAAATATATTTGTTGCAGGATTTATTAAAAGTAGCGATGTACATGATTGTGGAATTAATATTTCGCTCGCACCATTTATAGATATTTTCAAAAAACTTGAAACTGAGGGTCTAGAAATCAATGCAGATGGCATAAGTTACAGAGTGTTTTTCAAGTTAGCACAAATTTTAGGCGATAATCTGGGGCTAAATACTGCATTGGGGTATGTTACTTCGTTTTCTGCAAATTATTTTTGCAGAATATGCAAAAGAGATAAACAACAGACTCGCTCTGATTCTGTCGAGTTTCCTAGTTTTTTACGAGTAAAAAGTAATTATAATCGCGATGTTTTGCTTGATAATCCTGCACACACTGGTATTAAAAATATTTAAATCTTTAATTCCTTGCCAAGCTTCCATGTTACGGATAACATCGCATGTGACATTATGCATGATGTATTTCTTGGCGTATGCAAATACAATCTTTCTAAAATTTTATATCATTTCGTTTACACGAAGAAGTTTTTTTCCTTAGATACTTTAAATTACAGGAAACAAATGTTTCAGTACGGTGACACTGAAATTGGAAACATTACCCCACCTATTCAAAAACACCATGTAAATAACGCTTCATTCAAAATGAACGCAAAGCAAATGAAAACATTTTTTCATTTAATACTTCTCTTGATAGGCGATATAGTAGATTCAAACGACTTAGTTTATAAATTCCTTATATTGTTTGTAACTTTGATTGATCAATTACTTTTACCGAATTACAATGATGCTTCTTTAAGTTACCTCCAATCCCTAATTAAACAGCATAATGACACATATCAAAGTATATTTTAAGAACACTTAAAACCAAAATATCACAACTTGGTGCATTATCCATCTATAATAAAAAAATTAGGACCTTTAAAATATTTATGGTCGTTTAGATTCGAGGCTGCACACCAACTGCATAAGCAATATGCGAGAAACATCACCTCTAGAACAAATATTTCACTGACTTTAGCTATAAAATCTTCACTGAGGTTCGCAAATTATATATTAAAAAATTAGTTTTTTCAACAAGAATATACATTTAAAAGTATTAAAGGTATTAAACCAGAAAATAGTGCATACTTATCTTCATTAGTTCCTGATTTAAACTTATATGAAACAACAAATGAAACTATTTTTCAAGGCATTACTTTTCATATTGGTCATATAGTCACAGTCTCTCAAAGTGACAATATAAATATTTATGAAATAATGCATTTTTTAATTAAAGACAATGCTGAACAAATCTGTGTTAAAAAATGGGACTACGTAAGTATTTCCCAAAATTATCAATCGTATTTAATAGGTCATTCCAGCAATATATGTAATATAATACACTGTAAATGTTATGACCTTAACAATGGACTTAAAGTATTAAGACAAAAAAAATATTGGCACTGAGTATATTCACACTTGTGCACAAAATAATAGGAGTGCGAAATTTTTACCAGTTTCGACCATTTTTTTTTGTTTGTTTAATGTTAAACCATACAAAAATTACTAACAATCAAAATATTTTCACCAAAATTTTTAACTTATTATTCAGAATTAAAATAAGTGGGTATTCAGTTTTGTAGCCCATACAATTTTAGTACAATAAAATGCAAGTTTCAAATGGCAACAAAATCGCGTTGCTTTTTTGGATTTTTGTTTGTAGGCCCTTTCATGCATATTCTTTCTTGCAGAAAAATTTCAGAACATTAATTGTATGGAAGAAATTAGTATTTGGTAGCCTATTGAAACTTGCAGTGTATTATACAAAAATTTAACGGGATATAAAATGCATACTTAAATTTGTTTTAAATTCTGAATAAAAAGATTGAAATTTTGATTTATATGTTAATAAAAATAATTAAAACAGGTAAAACTATTGCACTCCTATAATTTTGTGGACAACTATATAACAAAATAATTTGTCTATAATTATAAACTAAGTACAAAAAATATGTGTTAATAAATGAAATAAATAAACCGAAGTTGCTTTTTATTGAGTTATAGTGTTAAATAAATCAAAGAGGGAACCCATTAAAACTTGAAGGATATCTCGTTGGAAATATTAATAAGAGCATCTTCTCAATAATATGTAATATCTCTTTGGAAACATCAATAAGAATATCTTCACAATAATATGTGAAATCTCTTTGCAAACATCAATAAGAATATCTTCACAATAATATGTGATTCCTCTTTGGAAACATCAATAAGAACATCTTCACAATAATATGTTATTTCTCTTTGGAAACATCAATAAGAACATCTTCACAATAATATGTGATTTCTCTTTGCAAATCTTAATAAGAAAATCTTGTCAATAATATGTGATATCTCTTTGGAAATATCAATAAGAATCTCCTTTATTTTTCGAAGATATCTGTTTCGAAACTTTAAAAAGATTTTCTCTACCAACTTATGAAGAACTTCTTCTTAAAAAAAATCCATAGAGATATAAGCTCACTTTTGTTCTATTTTATTAGGTGCTTTTCGCTCTGTGTAGCCGGAAAACGACTAAAATGGCAACACTGATTACCAAAGCAAATAACACTGCAGTTGCTCAGTGTTACCGCTGAAAATTTTTCCAAAGTCCCAAAAAACGTGTCACATACTACGTTTATACGCACGCATTATTTGCAAATAACAATTTGCAAAATGGTAAACTTTGCCGTATAAACGCTGAG